CAAATATCTTCCCTTAGGGAAAAGAGTATTCAAACAATACACATTTGGAAGACGTTCAGAAATGCTTACATATTGTTGAATGTTTTATCATACTGATAGAACACACATTTTAGGGAAGACTAACAAATTAATTATAAACACATTTTTAGTGGTAAATTAGAAAATGTGAATTTAAGAATGAAAAAGATGTATAGTTCCATGGTCTACATGGATTAAATCAAAATCCCTGTATAATTAATAATGAAACCGGGATTCAAGAACCTGGGGAAGGGACTGCTGCTTAAAAGGCAAGCTGAGCAGGCTGCCACCCTCAGGTAAGGGTTGAGTCCTAGTGCAGAATGGGACAAGTCACAGAGAGGAGACAGGGTTAACTGAAGCAAAACGAGGTTCACCTTTTCCCCTGAGACCATGAACCAGGGATGCGCCTAGCCTTGCTGTCAGGCAGAGTCCATTGGACAGTGGACTAATGTAAATGCAGTTGGATTCAAAGTTAACATACTATCATTTGTTCTACTTTTCCACCCATTTAAAAATATTCTAGTTTTTATTATTTCCTGCTGCTTTTTGAATGAGGTTTTTCTTTGTTTTGTTACTGCTGTTGATGTTATTGCTGTTTGGTGTTTTGTTGGTTTGTTTTGGTATTTTTAAAAAATCATATGAAATCCAGGATAGGTCAATCTACAGTGACAGTAACTGGATCAATAGTTTCTTAGGGTTTATGGCAAGGGAGGTTGGGAGAAAATGGGGAGCTAATAAGAATGGGTGCAAGCAAGAAGAAAATGTTCTAAAGTTGATTGTGGTGATGATTGCACAACTCTTTCGACTTGAAATCACTGAATTATCTGCTATGATGTACTCTGCGCCTGTAATGAGTGATGGTCTTGGAAACGCACAGTACTACCGTATCCTATAGGGTCACTGTGAGTATGCCGTGACTCGATGGCAGTGAGCTAGTGGCTGAGCAGTCTGAGACCTGGCATCTCCAGAGAACAAGTGCTTCTACCCATGTGACTAGTCAGTTCCTAGGAGAAAGAAGAAGAGTTTGAACTAAATTGGAAGTTGAATTCCTCAGATAGTTATAGTTGCGAATCTATGACTTTAGTTTAGGTTGGGCCAGACATTAGAGACAATTATTTTACTTCTGTTTCTTAGGTCACGGGTTCTGACTAATTTCACAACAACAATGGTGTTTGTTTGTTTTCTTGGTTAAGATACTCTCAAAAAACTTGTTTCCAGAGGAACAGATAGCATACTCATTGCAAATGTTATTGGATTTCAATGGATAGCATCTTAAGTGGAATGCAACTTTGTGGAATGATGCCAAGGGTGCATTTGTTGAATTATAAAGAATGATAATAACCCTTCCCCTTTCTATTGGCAATGACTGCAGTATATGTGGTTCACGGAATTATGTAAATACATTTGAAATAATATTCCTATGCTTGATAATCATGATGTAGGTGCCAAGGGCAAGAGAAAGACAGTAATCAATAATTCCCATGATTAAAGGCTTGAAGTTAAACAAGCGGCCATCCAACAGTGAAGCAATAAGCCCACATGCAAGAAGCACACCAGCTGGTGCAGTCGTGAGGTGTCACCGAGACTGGGCAACTGGCATCGGGATTCACAAGAAACAGTACACAAACAAACAAAAATGCATTGGTGAGAATGGAAGGGGTTTGGAGCCGAGACCCAAAGCCCATCTACGGACAATGGAACATCCCCCCACAGAGGGGTCACAGGGAGAGGGTGAGTCAATCAGGGTGCAGTAGAACACTAATGGGTCATGCAATATACCTCTGTTCTCTCAAGGCCTCCTTACCCCCTGCTCTCCCGACCTCAGTGCCGCCTTCCAATCTAGACTTGAGGGGAGCATGTACATAGGTACAGGCAAGAGATACAACTCACAACACGTGGAACCCAGGAAGAGGAGTGGGAATAGAAATACCAAAAGGATAGGGGAAGGGGGGGGGCAGGTGGGAAGGGAGGGGGAAACATAACCACACCCCCACATCCAGGGGGAAGAACAACAGAAACCAGAGGGCAAGGGAGACAGAGGCTGGTGTGAGATTTGAAAATAATTAACAATCTACAATCTATATCAGGGGGATATGAGGGTTGGGGGGGGGGGGCAGGGAAAAGAAGAGGTTCTGATTCCAAGGGCTCAAAAGAAAGTAAAGGTCTAGAAAAGAATGATGATATATGTACGAATATGTCAGGTAAAATTGATGTATAGTTTGTAACAAGAGTTGTAAGAGCCTCCAATAAAATGATTAAAAAAAAATAAAGACAAAGAAAAAAAAATTCCCATGAAACAACTTAAAATGGAATTGAGTCATCAACAAAATATTGTTCTTCCTATGGGAGCCCCGCACACTCAGATGGCAGGCACAAACAGTACAGATACTCCGCTCTCTGTGTGGCATGTACTGTCAGCCCATAGGTGCTTTTCATATGGGAAAAAGACCAAGTTAGATCAATAAGTGACCTGTCTCTCACTGGTTGTCATCATGACGATGACATTTGCTGGAGAGAAGGTATCTGAATCAAGACAGAATCGGTATTTGATTTGAGACAGATGCTCAAGTTGCAAGGTAAAGTCCATTCTCTCTAATCAATAGATATGTGTTGTCATTGATCCACTTTCTTTGAGCGTGCTTTGTAAGGACACAATCACTCCTAACAGGATGCAGACTTCTAATCACCAGAGGTTTAGTATGAGACACACACTTAAATCGAATATGTAGAATTCCATGTATTAGCTTGAAAAAGTAAACCAAAGCATGCGTCAATAAGCATTCGTTTCACTTTTTCCTGCTTCGACATGAAAACACGTTAATTGTGGATATTGAAGTATTGACCCTTTAGTTCTTTCATGAAGACATGTAAAGATACTGACAGTTATCTTGTGTAATGTAGGTTTGTCTATGGATTGTCTTTCCTTTTCCGTAATCAGACAAAAAGTGGACTTGAATGTAAGATTCATTATTTCACTTACAGATAGATTGCTCTGGCATATTCTATATAAGCAACCGCCAAACATTAAAGGGCAGTTCAGTGATGCTAATCCACTTTTGTGGCAGTGTAAAATGATTAAGTTTGTGTGTGTGTGTGTGTGTGTGTGTGTGTGTGTTACATGGTTCTTTAGGGATGGGTTAGCTCCTTAGTTTGCTGGAGCACATTATGGGATCCAGGTTTTCCCCCGTGGGCCTCAGTGATATGTTAGAAATTCAGAATAGGGCCCAGCGCTGGGCTGGAGATGAACCCAACAGAAGACCTCTAAATTAAGGAGAAAGATTTAAAAAAAAAAGAAACGTGATTTACAAAGAGCCATTGCACTGGGTGATAGGTAAGGAAATCCTCTTCACGTCTGCAAATTCTTTAAAACCCTCAGCTGCAGTGAACTGTGCCTTGTGAGTTGCCAGGGGCGTGGATGACCAAGAAGACAAAGGCTTGGTTTTTCTCTTTGGAGCTTGCTTGTGGGTGTCAGTTGGCTGCACACCCTTGCTTGCATTGGGCAACACTGCACTGGAAGGTGCTGCTCCTCCTGGCAGCCAGCACTGCAGGGATTCCCAGCAGCTGTAGCAGTGCTGGGCTGGGACAGGAGTGGGGTGGGCTAATCTGTTGCACTGGCAAGAAGTTGCAGCCACACCTGAGAGAAGCCACCTGCGAGGTGCAGCACAGCCCAGGGTAGGAGGGAAGCAAAGAGATTCCTAAGCAGAGTGGGCTCCTCCAGGCAGCTAAGATTCATATGGGCATCACTCTCTTACAAAAGGAGAAAGCATCTTTCTCTTACAAAAGGAGAGATGTAAGGGGGGTGATCAACCCAGCCTTCCAACCCGCCACAACCTAGTCCCAGCACAAGTGAGTTATTAAGGAAGTTATTGACCGTTTTCCTCTCTGCACTTTAACCTTCTATTTCGTGTGTGAATTCCAAGAGATGGGCCCAAAAGAGCGTTTATCCTGAAACCCCAGGTGGAGGATGCGATCACTCCAGCGCTCCACTGGTGGTCCAGGGTCCTCAGGTCGCCCAGGCTGGGCTGTCCTCTTGGGAAACATAAGGCTTTCCTAAGACTAGTTGCCAGGGCCTGCAGGGTGGGGGCGGGGTGCGCGCGGCGGCCGGTCATTTATTCCTCTTCACCTTCTGGCTTGTTGATGCGGGTGACAAGCCAAGCGCTGTGGCCCTGGCAGAGCAAGTCTGACACCTCGAGGATGGGAGAGGGGGTGCCGGGAACCCCGACAGCGGGAGCGGGGACGCTTGGAGAGTTGTCTGGTGGTGGGGCTTGTTTACTGGGGAGGGAACGGGGCGCTCCCCAGTCTGGCCCCGGAACAAACAGAAGTCCAGCCTCGCGGCCATCTGCCCCAGCCTGGAGGTGTATCTGGCTCGCTTCGGGGACCCTGGGGAGGCCTCTGGCCACCCCCAAGGCGGCTGGACGGCTGCTTCGGCGAGCTCCCGGCGGGGACGGCGGGGGCGAACAGGGTGCCGCCTGGCGCGCGGGGGCTGCGCGGTGCGCAGGTCCTGCCAGGGGACCAGGTCCTTCCACCCCCGCGCCCAGCGCTGCGTGGGACGCGCTGCTCCCCCCGCGGTCCCTTCGGAGCGCAGTCTGTGTGC